AAAATTCAGGATAGGTGTTCTTTAATGGCAACTATTAAAAAGAATACGGGTCAGTCAGAAATTGAGAATATTTATTCAAGGGTGCTTTGCTGATATCTGTAAGGACTTCAAAAAGCCACAGAGTTATCCACATGATGTGCAAAATTTCAATAAATAATTTTAATATGGAAAGAATTTTTATTTATTTTTTAAGGTTTTTTATATATTATCGTTCCTATTATAGTACATATGTTACTAGAAATCTATGAAATCCGTTATTTTATAGAATTCCTAGGAATTGTAGATAATTCGTAAAATGAACAGGGTGTGTGGAATATAGTATTATACACATTTCAGATCAGAGCAGCCTGACTCGGATGGGTTAGGTCAGAAGGCTAAGGCAGGAGCTCCGCTACGCTCCTTTAGTCCTCGTGATATTTTTCTAAAATAATTGTCCAGAAATAGATTTAGTCGGTCTGAACAATAAATCAGGTATATTTTGCCCAATTCATTGATCACTCGGGGTGTTATAATAAATTAATTTTATATTTCGTTTGTACCGTTCAGGTATTGTATACAATAGCCAGAAAATACATTATCGAAATGGTAGTAATAAAATATTTTCTGATATATTTATTTTCCACATTTTCTAAATAGGCTCGACATTATATGGGTTGTAAGGGAAATGCGTGGTCAAATTTTAGATACCGGTTCTGCCCATGGAAATGAAAACCTTTCTTCATAAAACCAATTTCCCAAATAAAATGTACAAATATATATAATCTATATAGGCTAGGTCATAGTAGTAAACAGAGATGTAAATATTTATAAATAAACCACTTAATGTAATGTAAATACTTATAGTCATATCCTGGGAAAAATAAAATAAAGGTTACCTACTTAGAAAGAGAGCTTCAAGTAGGTATTCGGAGTGTGGTCTCCATCTTTATCTATAACTTCATGGTCTGAACCATAGACATAGTATCTTATAGACTAAACATTCAGTGACGTCATCTGCGTGTGAAAGGAATGCACGTATATAGTTAAACATAAGAGTAAGGGAGAAGCAAAACAATATTTCTTGTCTTTTTCTAAGTATACGTTTTTGATTGTTTTCCCTCCTTTATTTGACATTAACGATGTCAAGCGTTTGTGATTATCATTAATATTATAAGCAAACAGGTAATTGAATTCAGTGTTTTTCGTGGGTTTTAGTTATTAAGTAAGGTGGAAAAGATGTTAAGTTGTAGCATTTTAGGATGCAATAGCATCAGTCAACGAAAAATTGATGATATTACCTTTCATCGGTAAGTTTGTTTTGTGCTTACATTTGCTATTTGTACTGATTAATATCTGTTGTTTTGAAAATAAAGTGTAACATTTCATGTTTTTAATGAACTTTGTGATGTATTTTGTCAAATATTTCGACTCCCAAATTGTAAATTCTTCATGATAATGCTCCTTAATTTGAATGATCATTGCAAAGCTTAAAGTCATAACAAACGTGTACTTTTTGACTTGGTAGGATTATGGAAACTTTAGGGATATCATCGAGTACGATAATGTTTTCCCATTGTTCAATAATAAGTATTATTGTGATTAGTAGTTATGTACATAAATATGAATCACATAATGTTATACATATGCATACACTTTTATGTTCAGCTTTAAAGGAAACTCTCCTTATTGGGCAATAATATACAACTCTTCAATCATTTTCTATATTAATAGATGTCACAAATAATATATAATTATCAACCTGAAAACATGTTTAGGTTCAACTACATAAGTATTGAACAAAGTATATTTAATTTCACAAAATATGTACCTGAAATCACAGGCACAAAACTTTATTGTATTCCATTAATTCTATCACACATTAGCAACAATTACATTACAATAGTTATTAAAAAATAACTAGATATGTCATACTTATATAAATATAGATAAAATAATAAATAAATAAGTCTTAATCTTAAGATACACAATAACACAACAACTTAAGATAATATTCTCAATTAATGATGTAGAAAAAATTTTATGATAATATATTTACCGTTACTATTAGTCATTATCAAAAGTCAAAAGTTATAGGTTTTATGATTGTTGTCTAGCTTGGCAGGAGGATTGGCAACTGCAGTTATTTTGCAGACAAACTATGTGGGAGGTCTATGTTCAGCTGTGGAGGACATTTGTTAGGCTGTAAATGTACTAATTAACAATATCTAAAGCTTAATATGTACATTTTTTTTAAATGTTTGGTATGAATAATATTATAATTACATTTACATATACCTGCTATTTAATTAAATCAATTGATATTGTATTAATTGTTATAGGTGTTGTATTTATGCACAGATACTCATACTTGAATTTTTTTAAATACCTTGATATAAAAGTGTACTATATATTTAATATATTAATTTCTTTTAAATATATTATTTTACAGCTTTCCTAAAGAAACAGCTATCCGTAATTGCTGGATAATCGCTACTGTTGATGATTATAGATAACCAACAAAACTTAGCAGTGTATGCTCAAATCATTTTGAGCCTCATTGTTTTAGGCGGACTAAATATGCTTAATTTATGTAATTTATAATATAATTAAGATAAAATATTTAAAATGTTATAATTTATTGTTGTCTTGTTGTTTCCCCATAAGTGATATAAGTTTGACCTTGTTGGTAATTATGATTTTTGACATTGTTCTGTATGTATTAAAAATTGAATAGCATTGCTTAATTTATTTATGGTTTTTGACTTTTTATTTTCAAATTTCTCTGTTATCATTCTGTATTATTATGACTTGTAATAATTTTATTGTAATTTATATTAATTTTCTTTGTGTAATTTGATTGCATGACAATGACAAAATATTTAATTATAGATAGATTGATTAAACATAAATTCTCATTTACAAATGTAGGAACTTTATCTGTACTACCATGGTTTATGCAAGTAAAGATTTAAATAAAATAATAAATAAATAATTTTAAATCCTGACTTAAATATACAAATGAACAATTTATTATGCAATAATAATTGTAAAAGTGACTGTAAATGCCTACCAATGAGATATTTAGTCCCCCCTTAATCCTTTTTATAAAGGTGTTATAAACAATAATGTGGAAATAAGTTAAGAAATAAATAATTTATTAATAATAATTTACATTTAATTGACATAAATAATGTAATAAAGATGTTTTTGACAAGAGATAGGTATTACCTATCTAAGTATAGTTTAGGAGTTGTACCTTATTATTTTTATACCACTAAAATATATTATATACAAGGCATATAATATATATATATACTGCCTGCTAATCAGATTTTAACAAGCAGCACCCAAGAGTTTCTGCCATGCAAAATTATAAATCAAGTTTATAAATGCATATTTTTTGAGAAATTCTAAAGCTACTCATACCAAGAATTACAACGAATGATCTAGAAAGAAGACAAAAATTTTGTTGTTTATTAATATCATGAAAAATTAATAAATAATCGTTTATTTATTTTAATTTTATTGGATTATATTTAATAATATAATTGTGTTTTCATTTGTTTTACTTAATGTAACATTGTTAATATTTCTACATTTTGTGTAAGTACACAAAATTTAGTCCTTTTTCCTTTACAGTCTATCTAAAGTCCACTGCTGAATATAAACATGAACATAGTTATTTGCCATAGTTGCAACGCTTGGCAAGCGGGTTGGCAACCACTGCTTTTTTTATATTTAGCTGTTCATCAGGAAAATGCTGCCGTTAATCTTCTTAGTTTTATTCTTGTGTTTATTTTAAGTTTTCATCAGGAAAGTGCTGCTGCCCCATCCTCATCTTGTATTATTGCTTACGACGCGGGGTAGTATCATCCCGTGTATAGACAAATTCTCTTGTATGCCACAACTTGCTGCACACAAGCCACTAATCTTAGTAAGACATGCAGGAAATCGCGGAAGTTGGCTCAGAACCGTGTTTTGTACTACAAAACCTATGTGGAAACCTTTTCTTTTCGGAGCTCTGTGTTCAGCACTGAACTTGTGATGGACTCGTATGTTAAAACATTATTGAATTTTGAAAACATAAAATTCGACACGAGGAAAGTTTTAATAATTAATTACCTAATATTTAAGTACATATTTTACATACTCCTACTTATTAGCGATATCACACTTTGTGCTAGTAGCGTTTTCACTTAGTGCCGTCGAAATCGAAGAGTTTATTAAATGTCGATTAAAGTCGTCGATGCGCCGTTGAATTCGGAATGATGATTCTGTTTTTACGTCGTTTCCGTCCGTAGTTTTTAGTCACAGAATGTATTTTCAAGATAAATGAATTAATCATCTGAATTATAAAAAAACATTTTTTTATGTTAACAAATAAGTTTTTTGTATGAATTAAGTGCTGTGAATATAAATAAACCCAGATTGGGGGAAATGGAATAATATCTGGTAACCCAGGGAAAGTACCTCCCACCTATTTCTATCTCAAAAGCATACGCGAATGCTTTATCTAGTCAATCCTCTATCTACGGTCTGAACGCGTAGTGCACAGAGTATTTTTTATAAACTGGCGTAGTGTTTCTATATAGTTTGTGGTTAATCTGTGCTGTGTGCTCTATGGTCTATGGATTGCGATTTGCGACCAAATAGCGATTGCGATTCATATTTATTTCGTTTGGGTTGTTATGTTATTTGTGCCATATTCTTGTCTTGCTACTTCAAATAAAGCAAACTACAAAATTCGTGCTACAATTATTATTAATCGCGTATATTGTATTGGACAGTTGTAACATACTATCACTGTGCTGTGCTGTAGTTCTGGACTGCCATCAGGTTATTATGTTACTCAACAAAACCAGGTTTATTACTTTTCTTGTTGATCTAGCATGTTAACCATGATTGTGACCCATAAAATCTTTATTATAATGTATATAAATACGTTGTCGAAATTGATAAATATATCTTTCAAATTGTTTCCTAGGCTGGTGGGATTCACAAACCAATCTCACAGAAGCAAGATGGAAAGCAACTCCACGTCAGACATTGTTATTATAAGCGGCAACTCACACCCAGAGCTAGCTGATTTGATAGCTGAGTAATTATATTTTTATAGCTCACTATTTTGACATGATGTTTTATCATTGTCAAATTGTAAATCACTTTTGAGTTTTTACAGATTGGCTTTAATTTTCTTTTTTACTTCAGCCGTCTAGGTGTACGAAAAGGTGGATGTTCAGTATACCATAAAACTAACAGAGAGACTATGGTGGAGATAGCTGATTCTATTCGTGGCAAAAATATTTACATTGTTCAAACAGGAACAAAGTAAGTTTAAATGGTTTTTTGTAGAACATTCATGTATATATTAGAAATTGAAATATTAGAGATTTTTTTATTACTAGTGCACCTGTTACTTTACTATATTTTTTCTATTTTCCATTGTTTAATGGTGAACTTATAAAATGTTATGTCGAAAATATTTACTGTCTACTGTTTTGAGAGTTTTTATTTAATTTTAAATGATTATTAATAGTTCAGTTAAATGGGACGAGCTATGTAGTTTTTGTGTATGAGAATTCACTATTCACTGTCATGTGTGGGTGTTGTAAGAGGTGAGAGGGGAAAACTAAAGTAAGAGAGAGGCAGCTTTCTGATAAAAACACAAAATAAAAAAAATGCTGTTGACAAACTACCTGCCAAACATAGGAATTATGATAAATATTCATGAGGATGGACTATTGCTCAGCAGTACACTTTTGATAGGTTGTAATGAGGAGAGTGTTGTACCTAATAGTGGAACATAAAATAGGCAGTAACTGTACTTTTATTGAAAATGGTTACTCTCAATCAACAAATTAAACAACTAACTATGCCTATACATACATTTACTTGTAGAACACTTAACCACTTAACTGTCCACCCAGTGCGAGTGATTCTCGCCTCACCTGTCCATGCATTATATGTCACTATTTTTTACGACCGTGCGAGACTGTCTAAACAAAAACCATTACTACTGAAAAAGTACTATATAGCTACATTTAAATAAAAAATATTCTCAAAAGACAAAGAATTCAAAATTTAATTTTGTTAAAAGAAAATTAGTCGCTTCTGTAACACCTTATAGATAAGGCAATATACTGTCGGAGGCTATATAAAAGGAGCCGATCGGTTTACTGGTCGGCCGACCTTTGTTTTGGTAACCGACCATATACAATTTTTCGGTATGATTTATGATTTAATTTTGGCTGTGACCTATTTCGGATTGTGGTTTAATACAGATGAGATTATAAACTGTCGGTAAATAGGAAACAAGATAAGAATGCAAATCTGAACAAAACGATCTGGTCCCTAATAATCACTTTAAAAACAAAAGAAGTGCCGATACCTTTTTTTATGGACACCAATAATTTTACATCTTGCATGATTTATGATTTAATGTAAGTAAGTAGCATGTTATAGAAAAAAAATAGTCTATGGAAAAAAGCTTTCACTCGCATCTGACGTTCGTGGTTTTCACAATTTGAGTTTTGCTGAGTGTTTTGGAAGTTCGTTTGCTGTTTGACTTAGTACATTGATGGCAGACTATCTCCTTGCTCTAGCTTGCTACATATTTATTTATCTATGATCTCCTCTGCCTAAGTCCTACGAACGAAATATTTGTTCACAGGTAGAAATTAATGCAAAAGAGCTAAGACGTGGGAAAAAAAATAAACATACAAAAAGGTTGACTACGCATGACTTGGAAAAAAGCCCTAAAATGTATGCTTTTATATTTAATTTTAGACTTCCTTGTACTAAGCTCGGGCTTAAATGTATCTTATATGCAGATGAAGATACATTTGATTCATCGTAAATTAAATATTAAAAATATCTCATGTCGAAATTTAAGGCCTCATGCTGAAACCGCCGATGGGCGGGCCAAGATACTATATCGAGATGCCGGGCCCCCCAATGGGCGGGCTGAATAACAGTAAAAGGCGGCATGGGGGTAATGTTGTTATTTCTTAGGAAGGCATTGAATGGGTTAATAAGATAAATCCTTCCTATATCATAACAATAAAATTCAAAATAGTGTTTTTTTATTGTGAAGAATTATGACAGTTGGTTGTTAAGGTGATGCATTTATCTGATATTCCTAATTACAAGTGATATATTGACATATAGGGATTCAGACGGAACCTCCCCATTTAGTTTTTATTACAGATTCATCTTTGTATCTGATGTCTATATATTCGATTTCAACTTTATAGTACAACAGTCTGACATAAAATTCAAAATATAGTGACTTTGTCAAGTCAACAGTAAAGCCCAACTTCTTCTTTCGCTTTGTGTTTTTGGTTAAGGAAGTTCTGTTAAAAAAGAGACCTACTATAAATTAGATCAATAAATTGAGGACAATGATGTGTAGAGATAAGTTACTCTACACTTGCAGATCCCCTGGTTGGTAATATTGTTAAAATAACATTGTACTGATTTAATAAACAATGAGTTCAGTACAATAATTTAAGTGTCTGCGAGTATAAGAGGTGTCTGGTAAAGAATGGCTTTAAAATTTACTCTTTGTTACACCTTGTTGGAGGTGAATGTTATAAAGGATAAATAAATAAGTGGTGAACAAAATTGTAACATCACATTAAAAAAATAAAGACTCAAGTCTCAACTCAATGATGTCCTTTAAGATCTTGTTTTTTGAAGTGACATCAATAAAAGCTTAGTTTTTATGAATGTCAAAATCTACAGAAGCCCAGAGGTTTAATGTTAACTTTTGATTGGTTGTAATGAAATTGCTAGATGACAATGAAATATTTGATTCCAACAAGTTGATAATATATTGTACAATAAAGTAATTGACACCTTTATTAATAATTTACTACATCATATCATTTCAATTTCATACTTTTAATAGTTTAGCTAAGACAGTAATGTATATTAAGATATTGTATAGTATGTGAGGGTGATATGGTCACTTTCTTTTAACTCAGAAACTACAGCCTTGTTTGCATAGATGGCTCTGTGATACGATAGCTCTTCATCAGTCAATAATAATATAAGTTTAATTAATAAAGCGTCAAAAGGGTGATTTTTATTGACACCATTTTGAAATTTAAAATTATTCTAAATGTTTTAGTCATTTTAGTATTGTGTAGTATAGTTATTTTTTTTTGTTGACTTTTCAAAGTGTTCCTAATTATTGCCAAAGCTTGTTTGCTATTTTTTTTTTCTTAATATATTAGTTATAGTATACAACTTTTTGTTTTATCTCTGTTCTCCTTCTAGTTCTGGTTTTATAGGGTGGAAAAGCTTAAGGTGACCATATTACCCTCTCCTACCTTACTCATATTACGGATAATATGATAGTGTGAATATAATATAATGATGCTACAAGTTTTTTTAGGATTAAATTAGAAATTAACACTTGACATTGCTTGCATTTATCTATAATAATATTATAACGAGGTAAAGTATGTAAGTTTGCAAGTTGTTTCTAGGAAGTAATCTCTGGAACTACTGAACCAATTTAAAAAATTTTCACCAGTAGAAAGCTACATTATTCTTGAGTGACATAGGCTATATTTGATTGTGATTAATAATATTTTTTATGTGAAATAACAATTATTAATAATCGATTCCGAAAATAAATCCTAGACACTCAGTACTAAGAACCACACAAGATAATTTCATCACAAGTTAAAATGTTTGATGCCCAGCAAAGTGGGCAAGGGTCAACTAGTTACTGATATATTGATTTTTTACAGCATTGTTATAAATTTTCATTATATTACAAGGTTTTCTTAAATTAAAAATACTTATTTTATTTTGTCACTAAATATTGCAGTATTGTGAGCATTCATACCCATTTTTAAATTAATTACAGGGATGTTAACAACAACATTATGGAATTATTAATCATGGCTTATGCATGCAAGACATCTTCAGCTCGATCAATTGTAGGGGTCATTCCATACTTACCATACAGTAAACAGTGTAAAATGAGGAAACGTGGATGCATTGTCACAAAGCTTTTGGCACAAATGATGTGCAAGTCTGGCCTAACTCACATCATCACAATGGATCTGCATCAAAAAGAAATACAGGGATTTTATGATTGTCCAGTTGATAATCTGAGGGCTTCTCCATTTTTATTGCAGTACATTCAGGAAAGTGTAAGTTACAGTTTTATAGCTATTTCTCTCATACACCAATGTAAAATAGATGCTTAAATGTTGTTGCAGTTGCATGCTTTTAACTTATATATTGATGGTGTGTGTAAGAATATCCTGGAGTGCATATTGTCCCATTGGTTTCGTAAGAGGAGACAGAAGTAGAGAAGCCAGGAGATGGGCAATAGCATTTTTCTGAAAAGCAAAGTCATAATAAAAAAACATGTTTGACGAATGGGTTGGCAACTAGGCAATATACTTCCCCATGAGTTCCTCACCGGTGACTCCGCTATTCCTGGCTACGGTGGCGTCAGATGCAATGGTGCCTGGATTTTCAGTGGAGGGTCGATTGCAGCAGATTGAGCAGCAACTTGTTCTATCATCAGAAGGGTGACCATCAGTCCCAAGTAGGTGTCGGATTTATCGTCAACTAGTGTCTCTTAACAATTTTGTAAAGATTGGAAGTGTGTTGACGAGTGTTGCGTACTATATACTCAGAATCACCAAACGGTATTTGTTGAACTTTATACAGGTTTACGCACTAACCTTGACACATTTCGATAAGGAGGTGGAGGTTCGCATATTGGGTTTTAAAGGAATCCATGCATTCCTCCGAAACCCAATATACGGTGTTGAGAGACTTCAACGCAAAATTAGACACAAGAGAGAATGGTGAGCTGAAAGTAGGGAACATCGGAATAAGTCAACAGAACTCAAGTTGTCAGCAACTAACCTTCTGCTTGAAGGCTAGTTGGAAAGAGTGACTCTTTATGAACTCTTTCTTGAAGAATCGCATCCACGAGAAAAGGACTTGGTCTGTAAAGCCACAATGGTTCAACGAAAAATGAGACTGACTCCGTTACAATCAGGTGGTAACTGTTTAGTGATGTTTCTGTGATCGCAAGCGTAAAAACTAGCGGCGTTCACTGAATGGTGGGAGAAACACTGAACCTTAATGTTAAATTGGAGAGGACACGCCTAATGAATTCAACTCTCCATCCCCCTCGTGCTCTAATTCAAAGCCCCGAAAGCTTTCAGCTCGATATACAAAATTGTTTTCAGTGACTAGAAGATTGTAGTACAGTTGGACGATATAAATGACTATCCTGAAAACTGTCAATGCAGTTGGAGCTAAGTTCTGTAATCCAAGATCCAAGAGTAAGTCAAATCTGACACTATTTTGATGATATATTCCCATATTATGTCAGTCTGAGCGAGAGTAGAAGAGAATTTAAGATCTTCGGAACCTAAAAATGGTGAGGCTCCGGGTGGGGATAGAATTACAGCTGAGCTTTTGAAAGCGGGTGGAAAACTGGTACTTGAAGTCCTTCAGAAACTCTTTAATTCCGTCTCCATGGTGGATTATTCCCGAAGCGTGGAGCAGAAGTGCGATGGTCTTGTTCTTCATAAAAGGCTACACATTCTATTAAAGGTCTATATACCGATTTCACTTCTGAGCCGCATCTATGTGCTGTTTTCCAAGTCATTACGAATCGTCTCGCTCTACGATTTTTAGCTTGCTTTTTGACAAATCGTCTGATTAGGTAAAGCCAACTTGGACCGATCAAAATCGCCTGGGTAGCGTTCAGGGAATTATGAAAAATCTCGTCACATATACCTCAAAAACAAGAATAAACAACCAGTGCTTGATGCCAGCGATAACATACAGGTGTCCCAAAAGTCGACGTCAAGCCGGAATCGGGTGATAGGACAAATCATAATAGTTACCAGAAAAATATTTAAAAAAAAATCTTAGTCTTGTATTTTTTAAATTACCGTAAATTCTTTTTTTTTTAAATGTACACCTGTAATGGTTTTTTAGCTCCTTTAGCTAGAAATCTTTGCCTGTTGTTTTAAAAAATCATCACAGGGTGTAAATTTTACAAAAAAAAAAGAAATTACTGTAATTTAATAAATACATGACTAAGATTTTTTTTATACTTTTCTTGTAACTATTATGATTTGTCCTATCACCCGATTTCGACGTCGACTTTTGGGACAACTGTATAGTCCTTCACTATTGGTTGTATGAGGAAGCTCAAGGTCACCAGCGAGTTATGGAGAGGGCTATGCTCGGGATTTCTCTGCGTGATAGTCTTAGAAATGGGATGTCCGCTTTAGAATTAGAATAACCGACATAGCGCAACGGATTAGTAACATAAAGTGGCAATGGCTCGGCCATATAGTTTGAGGAATTGATAACCGATGGGGAAGAACGGTTCTCTGTAAGTTAAGTTAGGGTGGCCACGCACAGTTGTAGTGGAGTTCTTTGGGGAAAGCCTATGTTCAGCAGTGGATTTGTGATAGGCTGTCATGATGATGATGAATTTGATACTACATTTTAACCTTACCTTATATTATTAATATAATGTGGTTTTTGGTAGTTTCCCTGTAAATAATTTTATTTTTTGTTAACTTGCTTTGACTGGGATTTCATACACGCAAATAAGTATTATCTATGAATCTACCTTGTATATAAACAAATGAAACTCTGTTGTGTAATAAATATAATCATCATCATCATCATCAGCGCGAGCTTGTCGTTTCTATAGTGTTGCGGCATAAATATAATTTTAACGGTGGTAGAGCCACGCGGCAGTTTTTGCTGTAGCACGTATGGGCCGGCTCGAGCCGGGTTGGTACCACGACCTCACAGAATACCGGCGTGAAGTAGAAGCTCTGCTTCTGCGTTTCGTCTGGTGAGTGCAGGTGGCCGGAGAACACTACGCGTAGACAGCGACGACCATCCGCGCGTCTACGTGTGCCTCTATAGGTCCCATAACGGTAATGCCGAAACAGACCGACTCATCGACCACGCCCAAATGGCTACAGATTCCTTGCTACAACAGGTCCCATCCGCGGAGATCGTGATCCTTGGCGATTTTAACGCCCACCACGCCGAATGGCTCGGTTCACGTTTAACCGATCATGAGGGGAGATCTGTTTATGACTTTGCCTTGACATATGGTCTGACACAACTGGTAACTTCGCCTACGCGGATTCCAGATGTGGAGGATCATACACCTTCCCTGTTGGACCTTCTCCTAACCTCTCATCCGGACGGATATCAGGTTTCCGTATGCCCCTCACGGCTCTTCGGACCATTGTCTGATCCGGAGTGTGGTGCCACTCACGCTCCCCTCGCGGTTGCGTTCTGCAGGTTGCCGCCGTGTTTGGCATTACAGGTCTTGGACTCGGATTGGGACGGAATGCGGTCTTTCTTTGCATCCTACCCATGGGGGCGGGTTTGCTTCTCGCCGGATGATCCCAGCGCTGTTGCTGACTCTGTCACTGATGTGGTGCTACAGGGAATGGAACTATTTATTCCATCATCTGTGGTACCCATCGGAGGCAGATCTCAGCCTTGGTTTGTTCGCTCCTGTAAGACTGCATTACGCAGTAAGCAGGAGTGTTATCAAGCCTGGGCTGCGGCTTCGGCGACTCGGAATGTAAACACCAGCACACTTAAAAAGAAGTATAACTTCGCCTCCAGGTCCTTCAAAAGAGTTATTGCCAAGGCAAAGTCAGAGCACATAGGCAGAATTGGCGAGAAACTAGTTCGCCTTCCTTCGGGAACCCGTGCATTCTGGTCTCTCGCCAAGGCTGTCCAAGGGAATTTCTGTAAGCCATCACTACCATCTCTGCACAGGGAGGACAACTCACTGGCCCAAGCCGCAAAAGACAAAGCTGACCTTTTAGGCTCCCTTTTTGCGTCCAACTCGATTCTTGATGACGGGGGGAAAACACCGCCGAACATCCCGCGGTGTGAGTGCTCCATGCCGGATGTGCTGTTCTCACAGCGCTCGGTTCGCAAAGCACTTCTCTCCCTGGACATACAGAAGTCGAGTGGACTTGACGGAATCCCCCAATTGTGCTGAGGACGTGTGCTCCGGAGTTGGCACCGATCCTAACGCGTCTTTTCCGGTACTGCTACTCCCAAGGCGTAGTCCCGAATTCATGGAAGACAGCTTTTGTCCACCCGATCCCTAAAAAAGGCGACCGCTCAGACCCGTCCAACTATAGGCCTATCGCGATCACCTCCTTGTTCTCCAAAATAATGGAATCCATTATTAACTGCCAGCTCATGCGGTACCTTGAGGATCACCAGCTGATTAGTGACCGCCAATACGGTTTTCGTCGGGGTCGATCTGCTGGTGATCTTCTGGTCTACCTGACCCATAGATGGGCGGAGGCAGTAGAGTCCAAGGGGGAGGCGTTGGCCGTTAGTCTGGACATTGCGAAGGCCTTCGATCGGGTTTGGCACAAAGCGCTTCTTTCGAAGCTCCCTTCCTATGGGCTTCCTGAGAAATTGTGCAATTGGATCACCAGCTTCCTAACAGATCGGAGCATCAAGGTTGTTGTAGACGGGGCATGCTCCGACTACAAGCCTATTAACGCTGGTGTTCCACAAGGCTGTGTGCTATTACCAACGCTGTTTCTTCTGCATATCAATGATATGTTGCTAACTGGTAACATTCATTGCTATGCGGATGATAGCACTGGTGGATGCTTTATACACCGGCCGTGCCAATATTTCTCGGGAAAACGTCGCTGAGTACCGGAACAAACTTGTGTCCTGAAGTCGAGTCTTTGCTGAACAAAGTCTCGGATTGGGGGCGACTAAATTTAGTCCAGTTTAATCCTCATAAGACACAAGTTCGCGCGTTTACCGTTAAAAAGAACCCCTTTGTCGTATCTCCTCAGTTTCATGGCACTCCCCTTCTCGCCTCAGCCAGTATCGGAATCCTCGGAGTCGACATATCGAGTGACGTGCAGTTTCGTGGTCACTTGGAAGAGAAGGCCAAATTGGCCTCTAAAAAGCTTGGCGTGCTCAGCAGAGCGGGACAGTATTGCATGCCTGCACACCGCCTGCAACTTTACAAGGCGCAGGTTCGGCCTCACATGGAATACTGTTCCCATCTCTGGACAGGGTCTCCCCAGTGCCAGCTCCTTCCACTTGACCGCATCCAGCGCAGAGTGGCTCGAATCGTCGACGACCGAGTCCTTTCCGATCGGCTCGATTCATTGGCACTGCGAAGAGATGTTGCATCCCTTTGCATTTTCTTTCGCATCTACCACGGGGAGTGCTCTGAGGAATTGTTCGGATTAATCCCAGCCGCCAAATTTCACGAACGCATATCGTGGCAGAACTCCTGATACCATCCACACCATCTGGATGATTGGCGGTCCACCACTGTGCGATTTAGAAGATGTTTTCTTCCTCGCACGACTTGTGGAATCGATTACCATCAGCGATTTTTCCGGACCGATACGACTTAGGGACCTTCAAGAAAAGAGCCTACTCCTTTTTAAAAGGCCGGCAACGCATCTGCAATTCCCCTGGTGTTGCGGTTGTTCATGGGCGGCGGTAGTCACTTACCATCAGGTGAGCCGCATGCTCGTTTGCCCCCTCCTATAAAAAAAATAAAGCCGACATCTATCGGCGACCTTAAGTTTTTTTTGGATTATCCCATAGATGCTTATTACGAGTACAATCTTTTGCATGCTACATATTCCTGTTTATGAATGAATCATTGATCTGTACTTCTAATGAACTCATAGGAGGTATTCCGTTTACAATTATTTTATAGACACATCATGTTTTTATATATGCTACTCAGATCCCCGACTACCGTAATTCGGTGATAGTGGCGCGCAATCCAGGTTCAGCCAAAAAAGCAACATCTTACGCAGAACGTTTACGTCTCGGTATCGCTGTAATACATGGAGAACAGAAGGAAGCAGAGAGTGATGAAGTGGATGGTCGCTACTCTCCACCATGCAATCCAAGGTATCTCCATACTTTTTATTCAAATATTTGTTAGTAACGTTTTTTAGAACAACAAAATATTTTATCGTCATTTTTACAATCATTTTTATTCAATATAGATTACAGTACATAATACTTTTAAAAAAAATTATTTACTTTTACCAGGGGTTCGGAAAAAACCTCTGTACATATTTTTTAAAAAGCAGTTTACAATATAATATTTTATACAATTGTTATGAAAACATTTAGAAACAACATGGTAGCGATCACCTCATTCCCAGGGGTTATTATCAGTCATGTACTCTTTAGTAGTATAACAACCCTTACTAGATAATTTTTGCTTAATAAACAATTTCAACCTTTTGTTGGAAAAAGTGCATATTTTCTGGGACTTGTTGTAAAAGCATATACATTGCCTCACGAAGAAGTTACTGACTCTTTGGAGTTGAGTAACTGGTATAACTAACTTGTAATTGTTCCTAGTATTTACAGAATGTACATCTTTTTTTTTAATAAAACTATTTTTGTTTTTGTGCACATACATTAAATTCTTGTAAATATATTGAGAGGCCAAAGTTCATATATATATTTTTCTTTAAGGGATTTCTTTGGACCTAGATTATAAATTTCTTGGTGTACATTTAAAGACTTCGAACTAACCAGAGTGGTTGGCTTTCATTACCGACTTGTCAAGTTCACACAACCTGCTCACATTGAATTGGGCTTAATGTCTTAGTATATACAGAAAAGTAAATTAATATTAAGAGTAATAAACAAAACTTAAAGTAACCGAATAATTTAGGGCTACAGTCAACAGGGGACAAAAAGTAGTGTGTTTAAGGTGATACTTGAGTAGCAAACGACTATATTTCGTAAATACAGTAAATTCATTCTAACTTAAGGTTGACCAGGGGCTGCGCCGACCGTAGATAGTGCCCGGGTGCATAACCTATGATGCCCTTTTTTACTTTTATTATTTGTTATGAAAATGGTCTCTTCATTTCTGTTCAATAATTGAGTAAAAAACTAATTCGAATAAAGATTATTTATGATGATTTTTAATTAAACAAATATACAAAATGCTATCATTATAATGTGTGTATGGACATTGTAAGATAAATAAAAAAACTTTGTGAAAATATACATAATTCAGTATCATTTCTCAGTTATATATGTATGCAAAAGGTTTTACCAGTTTCCCAAATCCTAATAGATGGAAAATATTACGCATTAGTTAAATTCATGATAGGCAAACATAGAATGTAATTCAAGATGATATTTTAGTGTCGACAGGTCTCGCACAATGGATGTTTCGGTGGGCGTGCCAGTGCATCCGGCTAAGGAGAAGCCGCCTATAAATGTTGTTGGGGATGTAGGAGGAAGAATAGCAATTATGGTGGTAAGTATGACATGTTTGTTCGATGAACATTGATATGGAACCTGTAATAATCGGCCCATAATTTGGGATATATAGCAAAATAATTCTAAAGTTTTTATGAAGTGATATTTTTAATTACTACGCCGTACGCCGTGTAATTATTTTAATTACACGGCGCATGCAGCCCGCGAAACGCAGCGCTGCTCTTGAATTTCGAACAAACCGAACCGAGCGCTTTCCACGTAACTCAGCGGACGCCTTACAAAAAGTGTCAAAGCCGCCAGACCTCTGGCCATTGCTAACTATTAGATTCACAATTCTTGTTAATGATTATAATTATTGCTTCGTTGGTCTAGTGGTCTTAAACGCGACTGCTGATCATCAGATCCTGGGTTCGGATCCCGGGTCGGGACAACAAAAACCAGAAAAACAACCCAAAGTCAAAAAGTTTGCGCTGTTTTATCCCCGTGCCTCGGAATGCACGTAAAGCCGTTGGCCCTGCGCCTGACCATCTGCGGCCGTGTCGGCTTGCCGTTCCAGCGGACTTTGAGAGTGAGAGAATAGTGCACCTGTGCTTGCGTATTCACTCTGGCCATAAAATCCTGTGCGCAGATAAAAACTACATGATGATTTATGTTTAATCAAGCCTTTAATGAGAAGATCACAAACCTTCAAACAAACCTTACATGCACTAAAATAATAAAATATTTCCTATTTTAGGACGATATGATCGATGATGTCCAATCATTTGTCGCAGCAGCAGAAGTTTTAAAGGAATGTGGTGCATACAAAATATATGTACTGGCAACACATGGGTTATTATCTTCAGATGCGCCTCGGCTTATCGAAGATTCACCCATCGATGAAGTAGTTGTAACTAATACTGTACCACACGAACTTCAGAAAATGCAATGCAATAAAATTAAAACAATTGACATTTCGGTATTGTTAAGCGAAGCTATAAGACGCATTCACAACAAAGAATCTATGTCTTATCTATTCAAAAATGTGACACTTGAAGACTAGGCCTAAAACTTTTCATGTATCATAATTTTTTTCAAAAAGTAATTAATTTAAATTCTTTTATGTACCTAGTTTTATGTGGAGAATGTAATATACATACAAACGTTATTTAAATAATATTTTTAAAGTATAAGTGCAGACAATCGATTCCTAAGTAATACCAGTCTTCTGAATAACTTCTTTAGAAAATAAGATCTCTTCGCATGTTAGTTCTTATTTGTCAACATCAGTAAGTATTATACTTTACCATAGTTAATAAGATTTGTCAAATTTTCTTTTGTAAGATATATACCAATCTATTATAAATGAGTAACATTAAAAGCCATAAAGCAACACAAGCCACCGTCGAATCGGAGGGGAGTGTAATTACGCTCTTTCAAAGTATAAGTCCACGCGGTCCTCTGCGTACAATAAAACTAGTTGTAGTCGCACTGCTCAAATCTAGTTGCGCCGCCGAGTCTACGTCCCACAAAAATGTCAAATTCTTCCTTTTTTGCTACAAAAATCTGCCACGTCAAATTTACAAAAAGATCTTTCATATATTAAGTAATTTTTGGTCACAGTATTGCTGTTTACTTCTTTTTAAACTTAAAATTACAATGAAAGTGCGATAATAAGGTCGTGTTGTTTCGGATTTGCTTACCAACACAGGCCGCTCGCCCTCATACAATATGTAGATCAGTCGAGCGACTGATCAGAGTTGTCGCTGTCAACGAGCGATACTGTTATCGTGTATCTGTGTGTGTGAAATTGTTAGTTTATTGTTTTAATGAGGGCATCCACAACTTTTTCTGCCACCAAGGCGGCGCCACTAGAAAGTGAGGTATAATATTTGAGAGATTTCATAGTGGGGAAGTTAATTTGTTCGGAAAATGTAAAGCTTATTGTTTCTTTGTGTACTATTAGCTATATTTTATATTAATAAGATTAAAAATAAATAAACCAAACCACAGATATTCATAAAAGTAGAAAAATTAAAAAAAGTTAAAAAGTGTATATAAAAATGAAAGAGCAAACCACTAACGCATTGTTTTGTGTATTAATTTAATACTCTAGTAACTGATAAACTTTTATTAAAAACCAACTTCTCTCAATTAAATTACACTGTATAACAAAAAACTTTACCTCAGTGTCAACTAACGACATCTGGTGAGCAGAAAATTATTAGCCCTCATTGTTATGTGGGTTTCGTAGTGACAGACGATTGTTTTTGTGTGTTCAGATTTCCCTCTGCAAAAGATGACAGACAGTTCTATATCGGGGAAAATCATGGCTATTCTCCTCCGGTCCGTCGGAGGCCCGTGTGGCTCTATGTCTAAAAAGCATTGCAGATGATAGATGAGGTGCCTATTATTTTTATATTTATATATACCTACAGTCAAAGCCTATAGGATAGGTATACCAGCTATTTATAGAAATATGACGCTGTAGCAACTGGCCAAAAATAAATACCTGTTTTCTATAAGATAACTCTGTCCTTTATCTGTTGGCCATATCTGGCAAGTATTCCCTATATATTTAAGATTGTATCTTTTATAAGTTATTACAGATCAGTGATTAATTTCATAATATATTTTTTAATATCGTTGTGGGAATCAAAGTGCTTATTGTTAGTTATCGAATTTTTCCAAAGTTTTTACGAATAATGTGTGTGAACTATAACCATAAAATGAAACGGTTAATTGTATTGAAAATAAAAATAAATATCTTAAAAATATGATCTTGTTTTATTAAATTTTAATGCTAACTGTATGTAATCAAAATTCGTAGAGTTGAATAAGAAGATGTCATGGATTTCAGTCTTTCTTGAATGATCAATGTCGTAGATATAAATTTTGGGGAGGAGGAGTAAATGTGGGTGCTAGTACTGGTTGATCAATAAGTTTTTGGAAACGCAATGAAACTTCTTCATGGGTGGGGCTCACAAAATATATACCATAACGCTCTAGAAAGAGCAACACAAAATTGTATGCAACACACTGTAAATTACGTAACACGCTAGAACTCTGTAAAGGCAGGACTATATTGTACCAAAACTTATTAAGAATCTTACCATATTTACGAGTAGAATAATATTATTATTAATATCGGCATTAATTCATAGTTGTTTTTGTTCTGACTCGTACCCAAATGGAAATAAACATAACTCAAATTGTAACGTTTTATTAAACCTAAAGAGGAAATCATCAAATCATATTACGACTATGCGACTGCGGTTCGGCCACCATAATACTCCTGCACACCTTGCTCGACTTAACATATTTTTCTCGAACTCGTGCCCATATTGTGATTAAGTTGGAACCTGTTGTTTGAATGCGGCCAATTTAATTTTCAACGGCTTTTATTAGCTAGAGAAGTGTGTGAAAGTGAACCCATCGCAAATAGTGACCCCTGCCCTGAAATATTTTCTGCCTATTTACAAATACGTTGGAAAATCTATAAAAACAAAGATCCCGATGAAATGAAGACATGGCTTAAAAGACAAGCATCTAAGCCAGAAAACTTATTACAAAAAATGCCGTCAGTCAAATGACACCATATGTGGCAGGTTCCTGCCATTTTGGGAGGATTGACCTCTTATTTTAGCCTGTGGCATGATCGGTTGACGTTTTATAAAACCTGGCAGTATTTGGCAGGATTGGGGTATTAAAAATATATTTCATTATGGCAACTTAAAATGACGAAAATGGCAACCCTTGATACTTCGCCAGCATGTTGGAGATTTCCCTGTATTTCTCGATCTCTCGTATTATGTTTTGTATCACATTCAATAAACAACTTTAAAAAAAATTGTATATAAAGTTGATAATCTTAACATGAGTTGGTTAATATTTAAATTAGTCATAAAAGAGATATGTTTTAGTATTAGATTTCATGGTGATAACATCTTGTTAATATTATTTCGTGGACGATAGTGATTATAGGTGGCGGCGATGAAGTGAAAATATGAAAGGGCGTATAGAGCGAAGTGGAAGCAAGATCTTTTATTTTCATCATGGATCTCCAAAGCTAAAGATGATCCAGACAGTGTAACTGCAAATTGGCACCCCGTGTGTGCGCTTAAAGGAGCATGCCGCTACTGGTAAACATCAAACACATACGAGTGGTTTCAACATGCGGAATGTTCTCTCAAATAAATTTAATTAAGACAAAAACATGAAACAGATTTATAAACAAACATTTAGCGTCTATCTTGTACGTTAAACAAGGCATTGGTCAGCGTGGCGATTGCATGGCATTCAAACCAACGAAAGATGTCTAATTTTAATTTAAAAAAATATAGAATTTATATGTGTATTTTGACTTTTCTTAGTTTAATACAATGGTAAATAAAATTGGCAGTATTTAGGCATTTTTTTACTACAGATTTAAGCAGGATTTGGCAGGTTTTTAACCAAAGTATGGCAGGATCTGTATTTTAAAGATGGTCACACTGATGCCAGTGCTTGACAGTCAGTTGACACATATCACAAACTAATTTATTTATCTATGGTGCATATAAATATTAAACAATTTGACCATTTTTTATTTATGAAAGATTTGTTACGCAACTATAATAATGATGTGCATTTCATAATTATTAAATATATTTATCTATGAACTGAATCATAAAGGCTTGGTTTTTAATGCGAAGTAATTAAGAAAGTCATTTAATATTACTTTTATTTTGTAACGTGCCTGGATATTACTGTTCACCAAGGATTTTATTCTCCTGTTCACTGTTCTTTCGATAAAATGGTGTTTTTGGAGCGTCTCTGCAGTATACCTAGAATACATTGGTTTCAGCCGTGTAAACGTTTATACAGTAACAGAAATATACTAAAACTGAGTGAACGAGGAATGTATCAAGATATGTTCCCAAACACAGCGGCGTAAGCATGTTATTTAATTTTTGTTATTAATTGGTGCTTTCAACCTATTGAAAATTTTAATTTACTAATGTTGCAGATCTGATATATTGAATTTATTAAACAAATGTCCACAGTGTGTATATGCTGGTTTCGATCCCACTGCCAATAGCTTACATGTTGGAAATCTCCTTGTAATCATAAATTTATTACATTGGCAGAGAGGTGGACATAATGTAATTGCACTGGTAATTCCGCTTTTAATTTGTTTTGAATTTTATACTACACTTAAGTAACACTATTAACACAAGATATAATAAATATTACTTTTTGGTAACTTTACTAGCTTGGTGGAGCTACAGGACAAATTGGGGATCCAAGTGGAAGAAATACGGATCGTGTAGCATTATCAAATGATGTTATACAAGAAAATATTCAGTGCATTAAAAGTAACCTTGAAACTGTTTTTGAAAATCACGAAAAATACTTTTGGCCAGAAAAAGAAAATAAATTGAAACCTCTTAGGTAATTATATTGTGGTATATAGAGAATTAGAGCTGTGCTAGCGTATTAGTTAAATGTTCTTTAAATTCGATAGTGTAAGAGCAACCTGGGTTTGATCCCCACTGGTACCTATGAAATTGGTGATTGTAATTGCTGATTTACTAAATGCTTGGTGGTGAAGGAAAACATTGTGAGGAAACTCGTATGTGAAGTCTGCCAATGCCAACATGCATTGCACTAGCTTGGTAGACATTTCCTTGCCTCCTTGATCCAGTAAACTGTCATAAAATATTATGATAATGCTAATAAATGTGTGTAAATAATGCATGTAATATTACAAAAGAGATAACTTTTTTTATGAAATTGACAAGCTAACAGTTACATGAAGGTAAGGGGTTACTGCAACCCATGGACACCTTTTTTATATTATTCTAAGCCATATGCTTAACTACAATCCTACCTGATGGTAAGTGGTGATGTAGCCTAAGATGGTGAAGCGCACTGACTTATCAAAAGCCTATTCAATCTTGCCTTGAAGACCCCCACGTGGTACTTGGATTCAAACACAGATGCTGGAACTTATTCCACTCCTTTGCTGTATGCATGATGAACAATGTAGCAAACTGTTTGGTTCCAATGCATGGTAAGTCAATAATGAAGGGATGGAGACTGGCCGAACATCTGGTTGTCCGATGGTGGAAGGGAGGGGAGGAATTAAATTATGCAATTCCTGCGCACACTCTACGAAATACTATAATATAATAGTAGAAAACTGAAAGGCTGTCTACTTTGCACCTGTGTTCGAGACTGGTAAGATTGGTTTTAACCAATTTCGGGTCACCAATAAGCCTCTTAGCACGTCTTTCCATTGAGTCCAAAGCTGCTAGGTGATATTTTGCAGCATCAGCCAATATATGGCAGCAATACTCCACACACAACTGGACTTACGCTTTATATAAAGTAAGCAGCTGTTCCGGTATCGCCGCACCTTTGCAAGGACTCTTAGCTTCCTTGCAGCTGCTTTGGCCTTGGACTCAATGAACCGCCGGAAGTGCATATTTAAGGATATCTCAACCCCCAACAACTGGAGGTGGTCGGTGTACTCCAGTGATACATTATGGAAAGAAGGAGCCAAGGTGACCTGGCTACTTTTTGCAGTTAAGAGACATGCTTGTGCTTTGGAGGCGTTGAATTTCACAAGATTGGCGTCGCCCTTTTTGGAGACTGCCTGTAGTATGAGATTCACATGCTCTACCATAGTTTCTCTTTCGGACTGGATTTGGGCCCGATGACTTTGTTGGTATCTCTCCACAACTGTGCTATCCTCTGCATACCCATAGATACCGGGCATAAGCAGATCATTAATATGAAGCAGGAAGAGAGTTGCAGAGAGAACAGACCCCTGAGAAACACCGGTGTTAGTCACAACAGGATCAGATGATCAGCCATCGACACGAAAATCAGAAAGTTCTTTGCCCAGTCAATCAGACCAGGGGATAAGCTGTATGGTGGAAGCTTACCCAAAAGGCAACTAATTTTAAACAAAGAATGCTACAGATGAGTTGTCACCACTGGGAACAACGATGGAATGCCTCTCAGCCTATACTTGATAGAAATTGGTAAGAGGATTGTGAAAATTGTACCACCTAGTTAGTATTTACATATGAAACATGATAAAGTATCATGAATAAATTTTAGATAGCATAACATAGCAAATCATAAGCATTACATGTTGTTACAGGCACTGTTAGTTTACTAAGTTGTGTAAATATGCATATGGTATGCTATGCCAAATATCATGCTTTATTATGTATATATAATATTTCTAGCAAGCGGAAAATATTGATAACACTGCTGTTAATTAGTTATCATTACAATGCAAGCATATATACCATTGTGTTCCACATGCATCCATCCACTGCTGGACAATGGTCCTGCCCCTATATAGGGAGGATTTATTATAATCCTCACACTTGGTAGGTGGATTGCAGTACCAGATGACTTGCAGCATTGTTTACTATAGTCCCCTTTTACGATACCTACTGGACAAAATGGGGTGATAGATTTTTGGTCACCACCAGATGGTATTGTGTACTTAATTATGATAAATGTTTTAGGATTGTCAACAATGAAAGTTGGTATAAAGAAATCAATTCAATACAATTTGTCAGTGACATTGGACGTAATTTTCGTATGGGAACAATGTTGTTGAAGCAAAGTGTCCAAAGTCGGATAAATTCTGAAGTAGGCATGAGCTTCACAGAATTTGCTTATCAGATATTCCAATCATACGATTGGTTACACTTACTGAAAGAATATGATTGTAAGTTCCAGGTAATAATTATCAGTTAAGGTTACGGTCATCCCTTAGTTACAGGCTGAGTTATTTTGAAAAGGCATTATGTTACAAAAATGTTTTTTTTAGTAACTACTTTCTTTTAAAACTCTTTTGTTTCCTTTTTCTTTTAACTGCCTGTAAATAAACAAACGAAAGATGATTAATTCATAATTTTGTAGGAGTTTATTCCACAACCTTTTTGATCAGTCTTCATATTACATAGTTCATAAAGTGAATATCTCGCACATATTTTTTTTTCCTACTTAATATAATATAGACATTGCAAAATGTACTAAGGATTGGTAAATGCTTCTTAATATACCAGTCTGTAGAACCTAATTGTTGTGTGATTAGCCAGCTTTCCAAAGGAGCATCACAATCTTTTTCTTTCAAAGTTTAATTTTTTTTTATGTTTTGTACTATGACCACATCAATAGCCTGTAATAAACCATAACTAGAGGTTACGAATATCGTAAAGTCTATTCAGATTCAGACACTTATAGTTTCTATTAAAATCAAAGCCAACTCCATAACCATGAACTCCATTTTATTATTTATTTGAGGATTTTTTTGATGATGATGAAGGTTTGTTTTGTTTAAGTTTATAAAATTCGGTGTCAATTAGGATATTCAAAAAATTTATCCATGATTTATAATATTAGCTTGTTGTTGTGCAAAATCGTGTTTTGTCTTTTTATAACATTTCTTACTTGAAGTGTGCAATGTTGCAATTGTTACTAATTGAGATCTATAAATTATAAGTACATTTTATTCATTTTTTCTTTCAAGATTGGTGGAAGTGATCAAATGGGCAATATTTCTGCTGGACATGAACTGATAAGCAGAACAGTAAATAAGAAAGTTTATGGTAATATAGACAATTTTAAATAATTTTAATTACATACTTTAATTTTATCAAAAAGCAAGTTAAAATTTTGAGCATTTTTAAGCACTCTTAGCACACTTAAATTTTTGCATTTAGGTTTGACTCTTCCATTAGTCACCACAGAAGAAGGTGACAAATTTGGTAAATCAGCAGGAAACGCTCTTTGGTTGGATGCTAAGAAAACTAGTCCATACAGCTTATACCAGTATTTTCTAAGAACTAAGGATTCAGATGTAGAAAGATTGCTGAAGCTCTTCACCTTCTATAGTTTGGGTGAAATTAAAGATATAATGTTCAAACACAAAGAGCATCCAGAGCAAAGATATCCACAGATGTGCTTAGCTGATCAGTTAACAACTTTAGTTCATGGAGGTAAATAATATTTATTATGAAATTGCTAACCAAATTGCATATGGAAAGTTCATCATCTTAGGATTTTAATATTACTTGTTTATCAATGCTTAAAGTGAAAGTTGCATATAAATATTGAAAATAACCATTAATGATAAGAAAAATGTGAGTGTGACTCTGTCTGACCACACTATCAACTTCCCATTTGGTAACTATTAACAACTGCTTAGAATTGGTTTAAATGTAAACCTATTCAGTGTAATAATAATTAATTGTCATTATTTTAAAGATTACTACCGTATGGCACATGAATAAAGAAACTATACAGAGGCAAAGCTTCTCAGGAGTTGTCAAAATTTTTACCTATTTTGATAGGGTTGGCACAGGAGGATAAAATTAAATAAACAAAACGTTTATCAGCTTTTTAATAGATACTTAAGATATAATATTTTTTTACAAACTACGTATTCCAAATTTTTTACTTTTATAATTAGTTCTTCAACAATTTGTTGTGGCTTTTAATTAAATGGTAAGTTCTAAATCTAATGTAGTTTTTTTTTTAAATAATCTTTTGGAAAGCAATCACATTGCATAACAAATATAACCTTGCACACGTTTTAATATTTCAAAATATTCGCGAAATGTTTTTTTCAAGCAATTCAACAAACTCAATAAAATTGTCAGGAAGTATTACTAAAACACCCGATTGGACACTATCTTTATTGAAATCCTTATAATGGCTGAAAAAATTATCTTTTCCCATATTTATAGTTTGTCCAGATCTATTAACATACACATTGAATAAAACTACTAAGGATTCTATCGCGTTTAATTAACTTACCCGAAACGTCGGGAACCAATAAAAATAAGTTATTTAAATGCGATAGAATCCGTAAAAGTAGTTTTATTCAATGTGTAGTGTTCGCGTAAATATTATATTAAAGTATCATTTATTTTCTCACATTTGTGGTGTTTGAGATATTTTCTATACAAATATCCCGACACAGACTAAATAATTTTCTTTTGGTAAATCAAATCGATAATTATTTGTTCCTTCTGTTAACATAGGGGCAGTAACATCGTCAAGTTGCGGTGATAGTGTATTAAAAATACGACAATCGTCCGTTTTCATATGCTATTTGTATCGTATTTCTGCCTATCACTTCTTATTGATTCTAAGTTCCTGGAAAATGTTAGCATTTCTTCTAAAAGCTCAATTTGTTAACTATCGCATCGAAAAGCTCTTTTATATTTATTAGGAGATAGCAGTGTACTTCGAGTTTAAGAAATCAAATTATTAATTTTATTTACAAAATCAGCGGTATCTCTTGCGGCAACCACGATAAGATTTAAATGTACGTAAATATATAACCCTTTTTTATATTTAATTTGATACGAATTATTCTTTAAAAAACAAAATTTGACACTATGATTTTTTACACAACCCTGAGTTTGAGCACTGGCCGAGCCGGTTTAAAGCAGTTTCTCTCTGTACGTGACGAGCCGCCAGTGCTCACGCACACACGCGCCTCAGGCTTGTAGTAGTGTACCCATCATAGCTCGGTTGTATGAAGCTTTGCCTCTGTACGTTACGGTTTCTTTACTCATGTGCATATGTCAAGTAGGTTTACATATACAAAGTCATACATACCCTTAAAAGCAGTAATCACACTGTGGGCGCAGAAAACATTATAACTACCCCCAAATAGAAAGTTATTAACTTAAATACTTTACACTTATTTTTAGGTAAATCCGATTCCTATGGTAAAGTAAAAAAATTACTTTCAATAAGAATTACTTGTAATATATTAAATATAAATTATGCTTATTATAGTGACCCCATTTTTAACCTATAAGAAAAAAAATGTCTTAAAATTTAGGGAAAAAGTCAAGTAACATTTAAATTTTAAATAATAATAAATTTTAATTACGAAATATACAGTAAAAGAACTTTAGCCCATTATCTAATAAATATATTGAACAAATAATATGTAAGGATCTTTAAATAAAGCCTCTTGCTTAAATTAGCAAAGTAGTAAAGGAGCTAAGAACCTAAAAATAAGCAGTGGAATGAAAATAATTTATTATGGATGAAAAAAACTATTACTTGTAAAACAAAATATGTATCTGTTGCATTTACAGAAAATGGTCTTGCACAAGCACGACAAGCGACAGAGGCAATATACAGCAAAGATGTAAAATCGCTTGTTTCGCTCAGTTCAGCGGACTTAGAACAAGTGTTTAAAGGAGCGCCTGTAGTGAATTTACTTCTATCACCCGGCATCACTGTACTGAAGCTAGGAATGATGGCAAAGTGCTTCCCAACAGAAAGTTAGTAACTGTGATTTATTTTGTATCCTATCCAAATAAATATTTTTTTTAAATATAGATGATTAGACATGCATGCACTTTTTGGTATGTTTGATGTTTAGTCCGTTTTTTTTACTGCTATATTTTAACAGCCTTTGTAAATCGTTTATTAACAGCATATCTAAACTTAATGCATTTAAAACATCATAATAACCATTTCTTTCATGTATATTTTTAGGTGATGCAATGAGAATCATTCAAGCCGGAGGGTTTTATATAAATCACCAAAGAATAAAAAATATAAATGAAGTTATAACAGAGTCTGCCCATATTCTACCGAATCTAATATCACTATTAAGAGTTGGTAAAAGAAACTACTACATTGTCAAGTGGCAAACATGATACTGTTAATATTTTATATATATTATGTTTTGAGAGGAAATAAAAAGCATTTATCAGAATAGTATTATTATTATTACTTACAACAGAAGCTTGTATACTTGCAGTATATAATGAATAAAATGCGTATCACATAATCGTCGTAAATACTACATAACATAGTTTAGCCTAGAGTAATATTCACTGAAATAGCGTGGCTAAAATACAACTAATTAATGCACTGTCAAGTCGTAAATATCGTAAAAATATGGCTACTCATAATACAACTCGTTACGTTTTTGTGCATTGTCCGGCGGACTTATGTAAACAATCTCCCTAATATCACAAAGATTTATCCGTAACATTATATTGTACAAAAACTCATACACAAAGCACAACATATTGTTATAGCAAGCATTGTTTGTAGCAAGTGATATGTCTTTTTCGCAATTATATCTTGCAATTAATTACAATGAATAAATATATCTCGTTATTACTGAAGATACATATTCTATGAAAAAGTACACCTTTAATAAATATGGAATAAAAAAATAATTGACCAATGCAAAAAATATATGATGCATTAAGGTTTCTTTCTACTTGCACTACTAATACTTGAAAAATCAGCCGATTCCTATATTTTATTTGTAAATAGAGGGCATCAGTCTGCGATTTTAAAAATCGTTTACTTACACGTAAAATGCTACTGTCAACATTTTTAATTTGTTATCAACATTATTGCGCTCTCTTGCGTATAAAATTAGTCATGCGCATTCACTTAGTATTAAAGCTAACTTAGACTTGTAATATAAATAGTTTAGGAGAATCGCAGTTTAACTTGCATTGTCTACAGAAGCTTTGATTGTTAATTATAAAATCAAAGATAATGACCTGACTTGGGAAGGAAGTTTTACGGGAATACTAGTTTACCCTTCCGTTTAGTAAATGACTTGAAGCGCAGATCCCAATAAACAATGACGAGTACATACGCTAACAATCCGGTTAGTGTGTACATTCATCGCTGTCCTAATATGAAAAATACATGTTTGTTTCCAAGACTTGAATGCATCCCCGTGTTATTACTGGCCATTGAAATTTTACACACTATGGGACCTTATCTCCGCCGCCAAGGTTGCATATAAGATGATCCCAAAAGACCATCATTGATTCTTTTCCTACACTATTTACGCCACAAATGCTTTCCTAAGCATGATCACGACTTTTTATAAAAATATAGGACGGGCAGGACTAGAGGTCGGTACTTTCGTGTTGCGGGGGCGGTACCGGTGGCGGTGGCGCTGGTACCATCGGCCGTGGTGGTCGCGCTCGTGGTGATACAGGCGTCTCCGTTATACTGCCTTCCGATTGCGACAACTGACGACTGGCACTGCTTAGACTCTTGGGCTCCTCTAACTCCGCGTCCTTCCCACCAGAACTGTGGGTACGTTGTACTGTGGTCCTAGGCGTTTCCTCCGTGTCCGCGTTTCCGCCTACTTGGATGACAGTTGGATGCTGTTTATCGACCGTATATATGTGCGTGCGTTCTAGTACCGTTGGTGCGAGGTCTGTATTGTCAGCAGAGGTACGCGCGCGGAAGCTCTGAGGACGCAACGTCGCCGGACGCTCCGGAACGGCCGGCTTGTGTCGTAATTGTACTTCGCCGGATTCGTTCTCAACCGGTACTACCGACGATGTTGTTGGCGGTACGATGGTTCTGGGCGCCGCAACAGGCCGAGGCGGCGGCTGTCCCGTCGGTTTTGTTGTTATCTGTATCCTCGGTGCTAGCTTAGTTTCCGCTCCAAGCGAAGCGGGACCGCTCGATACGTCACCGATTACTTTCATTCTGCCGACTATTCCTGTTGTCGCCGTGACGTTTTTTACGATCAATGTTGATTCCTTATCGCTTCTACTCTCGATAGGTTTTAAACTGTCGAATTTATCCTTCTCAAACTCTAAACTCTGTCGGCGGATATCGTTTAAGTTTTCGCGGCTGGCACTTTTCGCTGCTTCTTCTTTAAGCGCCTTGCTCTGGCGATACGTAGAACGGTTGATCGTTTGTACTCCCGTAATGACTTTGCCCGTGTCCGAAATAACAGGACGCGGTGGTTTAGCTGGTTTTTCGTTCTCGACCTTGGCGGGAACTTGTTGCTCCTTCGCAGCGTCGGTTACTTGGGTTTGAGCCTCCGCTTTCTGTTTATTCTTGTCGGGAGTAAAGTTGGGTGGCACTGGCGCTTTGTTTTTCCGCCTCATTATAGGTTTTGGACTTCCGTGCGGTGGACTAGATTGATCGGATAGGGAACTGTTTGATTGAGCTTTCTTTATATCGCTATCTAATAATATTAAACTAGTGTCATGACTGTTGCTTCGGGAGTGACGGCCCGGTCCGTCTGCGCTGTTTTTCTGCTGCGTAGATTGATGATTATAATCGAACATGGACTTGCTCATTGAGCTGTAATCTCCATTGGACTGTTCCTGGCCCAGTGCAGCCGTTTGATTATAGCCATGAACGAAGTTTGGAGTGAAACCGTATTCGCATTGATCTGGTAGTAAGTCCTCTTTGGTGAATGTGTTGAAGAAGTTTATTTCGTCTTTGAAGAACCAGTCGGCGTGCTTGATGAGTAACTCTACGACGCAGTTGACTGCGCTCGTGATGTACATATCTAGAGTGGTTTCGTCAGCCGCCCACAGGAGATTAGGGGCAATAACTATAGCTAAATTTGATGGTGTCATTTTGTTTGTGCCTTGATTTTGAGTCAAAGCAGACAAAAATTTAATGAGATACCTAAGGTTTTGGTAATTAGCAGGTGGGAGTAGATGGATAGCGTCCCAGACGGAGTTCAAGCGTGTTTGTTCAGAGGGTTGGCGCGATGCGTTGATAAAATTTTCGTAAAGACGGTACGTTAGAAGCGGCTCGGGTAGTTCACGAAGGTATGACTTGAGCACTGAAGCGACGACGTGCACGTCTCTGTAATCGCGAGGGAGAGGAACGGTGAAAAGACCGGCATCCAAAGACAGCTTCATTCTTCTTACTTTAGACAGACCTGTAAATTGTAAAAAAATATGTATATTTCTAATGAAGATAAAATTTTTCATTGTATAATTAGCGATATCTAAAACTAAAATTCATGTTAACTCCCTCGAAATCCATTATTTAGCATTTACCTAGAGGTTGATAAATCTTCTTTGCCTTGCATACAAAATAATTGAAGGATTCCATACATGAATAGACTTTCATGCACCATTGTCTATTATATAATCATCTTTTCCGTGAAAATTCTTTGTGGTTATCAGTTTGAACAGTTTACACTATTGATTATTTCTCTAGTTATTTTCACTAAGTACTTTCATTATATTGTTACCGTTACAGCCTATCCAAAGTCCACTGTTGAACAAAGGCCTTGCCGGACTCCTAGTTAGGATATTTGCCATAGTTGCCACGCTTATCAGACATGTTAGTAACCGCAGTATTATATTTTTAACTTGTTAATAGGAAAACGCTGCTGCCATCTCTTGGTTTGTTTTCCTCTGTCGCCTCTTACGACACCCGATACGGGTTAGTGGATATTCTCACATAACTAAATTTTCATTTGAGCCGTATGCTCATTTGCCTCCTCTTTAATTTCTACGTCGCCATTAAGTAGCAAACACCACGTGCACGAAGTGCATTACTACGACAAAATGTTCACTGTGTATTGCAGGTGCAAGTGTGGGGAGAAAGAGGTGCTCATCTCCGAAGCAAAAAAGGGCGTTATGTTGGGTAAAAGGACTTCGGCTACACAACCTGAAATGGAGGAGGTGAGCAATTGGTGAAAATTGGTCACCAAATAACCAATGGCTTGTCACTATTATCTGCTTCAGGCCAGTATCAACCACTATGCCGGCGCACAGGATTTGCTTCAGTGAAACAATGCGCAGTGGTTGATCAAGGTAGCGGCTTCGTCGCTTCCAGGGACAACTGAGTATGTGAGACCGATGGCTTAGTGGGCATCATATTGTGGCGAGCTGCCGGCGTCCCACTCACCTCTTACAATAGTTGCAAAGGGTAAGGGGTATGCGACGAACCTCGCCTGGAGCGGTTTTCAATTCACTCCTATGCTTAACCCCACTTGATCCTTAAGTAGACAAGGAGGCTAGTTTGTATGTGATTAACGCTAAAGACCATGTGAGTTTGCTTTCCTACAGATTGAGATCTGGAGAATGAATGAAACACAGACTTTATGCATATTTTCAGATATCATGAGTCCACTATACACTTTTAATAAAATGTTGTGCAAATACCCACATCGTAGGTACGTCAACCATATTATATATAAAAATTCTAATAGTCAAGCAGCATTGCTAGCTCTAAGATCAAACTTAGTGACCTCAAAGCTATTAGGAAAACTTTCTGAGCTATAATAACAGGATCCTGACCCTGTTGTGTGTCATGCGGATATTGTGAGCAATGAATACGCCGACAAGCTCGCACGGAAGGGTTTAAAGAGTTTAAACACAATTTGAACCCGAGCCATTATGTGGTATCTCGAAAAGCCTAGCCCGATTGAACAACGAAACTTGTTTGTCACAAAAAACTAACTTAACCCTAGAACGCTACACGGGGTGCTGGGGACCCTCAGGGAGGTTTGTTTCTTAAATAGTTCTGCTTGTGCTATAGCTACATAGTATATTATATGCTATATAGTATATTATAGCTATCTTTCGTGTATTTTATTTTAGTATCGTTCACTACTAATTAATCGGACTAGCGTCGGCAGTCGCGCTGTGTGAAGGTGTCAACGAATGAAGGGGTACCTTAGCACCCCAGTGTAGGAAATCTATAAGTATTTTTTTATTTTTTTAAGTATTACAGTTTTCCCCATTTATTTAATATATTAGTATATTTTGATGGAATTCTTTACATAACTTTATATTTTATTATTGAAGTTATTAAAAATATATGAAAACCATAATTAACATTTTTGCAAGAGGAATGAACAACGGACATAAACGGAGATAGAATAGTGAAAGACCAACTAGGAATCAAATTTTGCGTGCGATGGGTAATTATTTCAAGAATAAATAATTAACCGGAAAAAGCATATTTTTGAAGAAAAAAAAATGGATTTGGAGCTTGTCAAGAAACATTCGGAGCTAAGCTTTTAAAAACCAAATTTGAGGAGGGATATAAAAACTTAAAAATACTAAAAAATCAAAGTTTCGTTCATGTACATTATACATAAGGTTTGCTACAACTTTTTCCCAAGAATTAAAAATAGAAAAACCAAGACTACGTACCATACGCGTAAAATAACAATTTGTATGGAGCAATGGATGACTCTGTGAAAATGCTCAAATACATATTACATTTAGATTTTGAGACTGATTTGTAATTTTAAGTTACTACTATTTCATAATACAGTAATAGTTACACTAATTGGTTTGTATTAAAAAAAAAACCGGCCAAGTGCGAGTCGGACTCGCGCACCGAGAGTTCCGAACAAATCCGTAGGTATATAAGTTTAAAATTATTAAAAATATTTTTATTATATGATGTTACTAAAAATTTTTGCCTTTCGCAATTTTTCCTTTATCTGTACTATAAAACGTTGCTTCGTACCAAATTTTAAGATTCTGAGTTCACGGGAAGTTCCCTGTAGGTTTTGATTCCCTTGCGAATGTCGAAAATTCGCGGCACAAACGGCTGTATGTTTTCATTGAGTTGGCTTAGAAGTTTGATTTTTTCACAGCTCCAAGAGACAGTAGACTTGAGTATTTGTTATGAATTTCAGCGTGATACCTACACGCGTTCCTGAGAAATAGGGTTTTGACAGACAGACAGACGGAAAACAAAGTGATCCTATAAGGGTTCCGTTTTTTCCTTTTGAGGTACGGAACCCTAAAAAATACATACATTTTAGTATGGGGTACCTCAGCACCCCCGTATAGGAATAACAAGTACGCCGCCGGAATAACAAGTATACACCGATAGTGTAGGGTTCTAGGGTTAAGATTTGGTCTGATACAACATGCTTAAAAGATTTAAGGTATGGAATCTTTTAAGCATGTTGTATCAGACCAAATCTTAACCTACTCTAAATCTACACAAATAAATAAAATTTAAGTGTTTGTTTGTAATGTCAAAATAACAGCCTTTTACTAAATGCATATGAAAGTATATACGGTACTTATAACAAAAACACAATTTTTTAAAAGACATTATCTTTTTTGGTCCAAATATGAAAGTGCCGGCCAATAAAAAAATATGCTGTATTCCGTTAGAACTTGTCCCCCTGAGTATTTATTATTATGACACCAAAGCTGTAGGGTCATTGTCCTTGGTTTTATTGGAGTTCAAAAATTCAACATCTTCATACATTTTCAGTGAATTTGATAAACAAAAACAAATGATTTGTTCTACCATATTTTTATTTTGAACATCGTTTAGTAAAATATATTGGTTCTTGACCTATTTTGGACATGTTGATCTTGTTTTGTGTTTTTGAGGATTATAAGTAAAATATGTATACAGGGGTTATTTTGTTTAATTAAACACTATAAAATCATCATCGTCTGGTACAACAATAATGTTCTCCAATCCATAAGCTGGAGGGGTTATTGCTGGCAAATGTCGTGCATGGCTCATGTACCATATAATGCACATAATATGGGAGCAGCATCCAATTGTTCGCTTTCCTATGATGCACGAACAATAATAGTGAGCGATTGCTTGTCGGCCTGATAACAACCTATCTATTATAATGTAGACATAATACTGTCTTGCTCTAACATGCCGCGATTGCAGTCGGCCTCTTATCATCCATAAATCATTGCCCTGCAATTCCGCCAAGTCTTCATTTGATAACTCATTGCTGAGCTCAATTGTGAATGCTCCATTGTCAAGGACGTGCTCACCGTAATAGCTTTTGGCCTGTTTTAGTTGATAAACGCCCAGAGCGAATAATAATAATTCGTTCTCATCCATTCTTGGAAAATCTACAAACTCTGGCATATCTGCAGTCATTAAAGTAAACTGAGCACGTCTGCGATTGTAGTTATGGCGTATTACAAGATCTGCCAATCTATTTTGCATATTAATTCTTTGGTGGATAATCTCTAAAATCGCAGCAGCATTTGGATTATCTTCAATCAAAACATGAAAACGATTTATCATCGCCGCTGCTATCTTGAAATAGTCGAACATGCTGGGAAGAGCTCTGTTATTATATACATTTCGCAACAGGCGAAAATCTCTTTTGAACCTGCCGTTGACCACTTCAACCACCCAACGACAGATTGTTATCAGTCTGGACTTATTGGCCTGATCCGTGGTTAGCTGTGTCTCATTTGGATACTTTGTTTGAGGCATATGTTGTACGTATCCGCAAGGTTCCAGAAAACCACGGTCCAGAATAAAAACATCGCCACTCCTATAAAACCAGTGGAAGGCACTGTCAGCATTATTAAGCATATCATTCATTATATCTGCGTCAGACGTGGTGGCAGCATATGGTCCGTTAACTTCGATAATGTGTCCATCACAAGAAACCAAGAGGAACGGTTTTAGGAGGTTTCTGTATTTGTGGTGGCTGTAAGACTTGCGTTGGAAAAAATAATTTCCACTTTTTTGCAGATAGATGTACGTGCCATCACAAATCGTGATAGCTTTCCTTTCATCTTCTGGGCTCGATGGGTTCCCAAACAGATTGTTGGGTAGAAAAAGATTCCTGTGTGCTACATACTCACGGGAAATATGGTCAAACCCAACATTTAAGGGCACAAAATCTTCTAACAGAGCGTTGCGTCCGATTTTTAACCACGTATGAAACGCTGTTTCGCTACATTTAAAAATATTAGCAAGCCGCGCGTTCGAGTCACCTGTTCTTAACTTGACTAATACTGCCGCCAGTAAGGTTCTTTTATTCTTTTTAGTTCTCAGACTTGGTAAACTATCTAATAATTCAGTAAACTGATCTTGAGTCAGTCCTGTCCAAGTATGAAACTCGGCTGGTGCTATATTTTCATACTGCTCAAAATCAAGTATTTCCTCCGTAATATGTCTTTGT